GTTAAAGCTGGCTCAGAATGCCGGGGCCTACCCGTGCACATCGACTCCCCGGGCTGGGTTTCCTATCATAACAAGTGAACCCTCCTCTTTTGTTTGACTGTGTATAGCTCAATACTGGCGCTATTGTGTGCTCTCATGGACGTGGGAGCTTACCTGTGCACAGGTGATAGCCATGCGGGTAAAGATAACCGTGCAAGACACCCCACACCCACCCCAATTCTATTTAAAAGTATTGATCTTCGTATACGCAAATAGTATCCCACGGATACGACTGGCACGATTCCACCTTCCCTTCCCCGCCTTTCCCACAGAAACTTTGACCCCTAGACAACAGAAAACAGCAAGGTCTGGAAGATAATCTGGGCCATAGTAAAGCTCTATGGGTACCAGAAACACAAACCTGTGTAGGTTCTAGAACAAACCTGTGTAGGCTCTAGAGCAAACCTGTGTAGGTTCCAGAACAAACCTGTGTAGGTTCTAGAGCAAACCTGTGTAGGTTCTAGAACAAACCTTTGTAGGTTCCAGAACAAACCTGTGTAGGTTCCAGAACAAACCTGTGTAGGTTCCAGAACAAACCTGTGTAGGTTCCAGAACAAACCTGTGTAGGTTCCAGAACAAACCTGTGTAGGTTCCAGAACAAACCTGTGTAGGTTCCAGAACAAACCTGTGTAGGTTCCAGAACAAACCTGTGTAGATTCTAGAACAAACCTGTGTAGGTTCTAGAACAAACCTGTGTAGGTTCTAGAACAAACCTGTGTAGGTTCCAGAACAAACCTGTGTAGGTTCCAGAACAAACCTGTGTAGGTTTCGGAACAAAACTGTAGGCTCTAGAAAAAAAAAACCTATTTTTTTCTTTCTCTTATATGGGGAACCGAGAAAGTATTGTAATCGTGCAAAAAAAATCGGAATTGACAAAGCTCGAAGTTTTACACCTCGGAAAAATCTTAGTTTTGCAATCTTGTCTGTCTGTCGGTCGGTCTGTCTGTCTGTTGTTCTGTCTGTCCGTCCGTCTGTCTGTCCGTATGTCTGTCCGTATGTCTGTCTAACTGTGATTCTAACGGTCAAATGTTGCCAGCACCAGTGGTTCTAACGGTCAAATGTTGCCAGCACCAGTGATTCTAACGGTCAAATGTTGCCAGCACCAGTGGTTCTAACGGTCAAATGTTGCCAGCACCAGTGGTTCTAACGGTCAAATGTTGCCAGCACCAGTGGTTCTAACGGTCAAATATTGCCAGCACCAGTGGTTCTAACGGTCAAATGTTGCCCCCCCCCCGCCCCCCCCCCCCCCCCCCCCGAAGAGATGCCTGGAAGACACTCTGGTCAAATGTTCTTTCTGCTCTGAAAATTCCGAGGTGTTTTGCTCTACCCAATTTCCTTCTGATGTTTACTTTCATACACAGTAAAGAGGAAGTATTGTAATCATGCAAAAAATCACTAATTTCGACGTTTTACACCTCTCGGAGTCGGATTCATATATATTTGCAATTCTATCGTATGTCAGTGTGTGTGTATGTGTGTGTGTGTGTGTGTGTGTGTGTGTGTGTTTATGGATGTTTATCAGTGGAAAACGATACTTTGAGTACCCTTTTCAGCTAGGTTGATGAAACTATAAGTATTATTTCAAATTTGTAGCTCTGTGTCAACTTTTCAGCGATTTCCGGTAACTGGAAGTGGAATTTATTCTACTTTTGGTTTTTCAAAAGCCTTTAACTTGAGTACTGTTTGAAATAGATGGACGAAATTTCACATTTATGTAAAATATCTAATTCTCTGCTTTTTTTTCAAATTTTGAGTAATTTCCATTTACCGGAAGAAATACTTTACGCTATTTCCGATTTTGCCCATATAGCACAGCCCCTAAATATCAGCAATTGATTATGATGAGTTAGAGTTGAATAAAGGGCCATATAATCTCAATTAACTTAAGGATCGTTTAGGTGGCGTACTTTGCAGTTATAATATGATGTTGGTTTTATAAAGGACATGTGTTTTTGATATTTTAAATTCTAGTTTTTGTAAAACTTTTGATAAAATGGCTGGAAACTAAATTAACATTCTGGCCTAATATATTTTTCACCAACTTTGCTGTGTTAGGTCGACATTTTTCACCAACTGTAGATGTTAGGTCGCCATTTTTCACCAATTGTGCTAAGTTAGGTCGACATTTTTTACCAACTGTGCTATGTTAGGTCGACATTTTTCACAAAATGTGCTGTTAGGTCGACTTAAAAAAAAATAACATGTTTCAGATGTCAGGTCAAAGGTTTCTTATAATTTCGTTAGAATGTATCTATAATTTTATGGCTAGTGCGGATTGAACAAGAGTTACATTGTATGACTAGTGTAGAGTGTATTGGACCAACAATAAGTTTTATTCTGTGTCACGCTGTATTACATGATAACCAAACCTTTGAATAACACGTATCAAGTACAAAGCAGTGTCCAGTATAAACATAATGAGAATATCGTACTGATTATTTTGTCTGGATCTTGAAATGGCGGTATGACAATTACAGTTAGACATACCGAAACATCCCCTGAAAACTTGCATCTTAAGTCGTTGTCTAACAGGTGCAACCAGTGGCATCGGTAAAGCAACCGCAATCGAGCTGGCCAAAAGAAACGCAAGGGTACTGATAACTGGTAAAGAAAAGGTCAAGGTCGAGGCAGTGGCGAGGAATATCAGGTGCGTTATTTTTAGTCTATTCCACATTCTATGTTTTCTTGCATGTTGGCTAGATCCTAGACACATTTTAAGTTGGGGTGGAGGGAGCAAGCGATTTACTCCAGCGCCCAGGATGGAGCAATAATTACGCCACCCATAAGCATACGTATACATGAACATAGGCACTTATACATAAGGCCTATATATATATATATATATATATATATATATATTTATATATATATATATATATATATATATATATATATATATATATATGCATTTTTATATATATACATATATTATATAAATACATAGGTATAGGGCAGTTGTACCTTCTTCGAGAACAATCAGTGTATCTTCCAGACTTTTTTCTCCGGGTGGGGGGGGGGGCACTTGATATTTTCGGAGAGGGGGGTCAACATTTTCTGGGGGGGGGGGGGGGCGGACACTAGTAAAAGTATATGTCTACTGTATAAATTCCATCTCGTTCGGGGGGGGGGGGGGGGGGGGGGGGGGGGGGGGGGGGGGGGGGGGGGCGGTAGACTTTCTTCGGGGGCAGAGCCCCCCCCCCCCCCGAAGAGATGTCTGGAAGAAACTGTCAGTGATGAAAAACAAAAAAATATGAATGCATCTATCTTGCAGTCGGCATATGTACCTTGCTGTTTGTTATTGAAAGCGTCTTTGATGAAAATGGACATCGTGTGGTTATCATCTGCACTAAATGTTTCTTTATGAAAGCGCATATCTTGTGGTGGGTTAATGAAGGCGCATATCTTGTGATGGGTTAATGAAGGCGCATATCTTGTGATGGGTTAATGAAGGCGCATATCTTGTGATGGGTTAATGAAGGCGCATATCTTGTGATGGGTTAATGAAGGCGCATATCTTGTGATGGGTTAATGAAGGCGCATATCTTGTGATGGGTTAATGAAGGCGCATATCTTGTGATGGGTTAATGAAGGCGCATATCTTGTGGTGGGTTAATGAAGGCGCATATCTTGTGATGGGTTAATGAAGGCGCATATCTTGTGATGGGTTAATGAAGGCGCATATCTTGTGATGGGTTAATGAAGGCGCATATCTTGTGATGGGTTAATGAAGGCGCATATCATATCTTGTGATGGGTTAATGAAGGCGCATATCTTGTGATGGGTTAATGAAGGCACATATCTTGTAATGGGTTAATGAAGGCGCATATCTTGTGATGGGTTAATGAAGGCGCATATCATATCTTGTGATGGGTTAATGAAGGCGCATATCTTGTGATGGGTTAATGAAGGCGCATATCTTGTAATGGGTTAATGAAGGCGCATATCTTGTAATGGGTTAATGAAGGCACATATTGTGTGATGTACGACGTCTGTATAAAACTGTTGGTGAATGAAGGTTCATATTATGGGATATACGTCTGTATCAGTGGCGTAGCTACCGTAAAGCTAGCGTAAGCAAGGCATATGGGCCCAGGGAAAATATGGCCGCTTTCCCTCTCTGAAAAAATAAAAACTTTTTGATGGGTTATTTTTACATAAAAGTGATACGAAATAAAAGGTATTTCACCTTACGGGGTACTATATAATAAAACAGTATAAATACATAATTAGGACGTATAAAATACACATTTTATAGATTCACACAGGGGCCCAATAATAATTTGTGCATAGAAGCCCGAAAATCCTAGCTACGCCACTGGTCTGTATAAAACTGTTGGTTAATGAAGGTAAATATTGTGTGATATAGATCTACTTCTATATAAAACTGTTGGATAATGACACGTTTGACCATATATATGCTATTGGATGTGGGGACTGAGTAAGAAGTCGTCCAGATTGAGCAGCAAAATTTAGTTTCTCGGCTCAGCCATTTTTAAGTCTCTAGACCAAAGGGGAGAAAAAATTGCAACTGAGACGAAATAAACGTTTGTGTACTCCATTAGTAATAATTTTAAATATATGACAGACCGTTATTGGAACTTGAAACTGTCTACCTTTTATGGAATGCTTTTGAGTTTCCAAAACATCTAGTAGGTAAGCTATCACACATTTTCAAACTGTTACCACAGATGTACACTATCTGCTCAAGTGTGATGTAGTGTGTTCCAAGGTCTGACACTCACAGTGCCGTTTGAAGGTCTTCGTAGGCCCTAGGCAGTTTTTGTGTTCGTAAGCCCTAGGCACTTTTTGCATTTGTAGGCCCAACTGGCAACTGCTGTCCTGACCTGCACTCGAGATCACAACGACGCAGTCAAAATAACTCGACAAAAGAGCCTCGACTTCCAACATATAGGTTCCCGAAAACATGGACTCATGACATATTGGCTCCTGACAAAATAACTGCTGGCAAAATAATTCTCGACATTTTGGGTCCAGACAAAAAATCCTATGGCCACTCTTGATTTGATATAAACTACCAACATAATTTCTTTTAAATACCTCAACGAAAAATTTCATGACACAACAGCAATTCATAATCAAAGCGAGCTCTTAAAAGCAAAGTGCCACTAATTTTTTGAAATTTTGATTCGTTATTAACACTCTCATGAAGGCCTGTTCTTTAAACGCGAGCATATAAGTTTAAATGTATTATTTAAAATTTGCGTACAGGATAACGACGTGCTGTTTTGATAACCTATTACTATAAATGTACCCACAACGAACTTATTTGATGGAGTCAAAACTAGATGACCCGTAAATCTAAAAACATACTGTTTTCTCATACTAGATAAAATGATGCAAAAATAATGCCTGTCGAAAAAGACCTACATACGCTTTATTATTGAAAGGTTTTGGCTAAGCTATAATTCTGAAGAGCATCGAGGAAGGGGTCATTTTGAATGGTGCCGTTTCAGCGGGGGACATCGTCTCTACGGAAACCGTATTGACTGAAGCCCTTTATCGATTGTCCTAATGTCACGAGCCTATTTGTCGGGAGCCTTACTGACATAAACCGTTTTGCTGGAAGCCTATAGGACTGGGTCCATTTGTCGCTCGCCCTTTTCATGGGGCTCTTTTGTCGGGGTCTTTTTGACGGAGCCGTTCTGACTCGGGCAGTTTTGACGCCGCAAGGTTTACATCGCACTAGCCATAGCTATGGTAGTTGTTGCATTTAAGCGGGTAAAATTCTTAAAGACATAATAAGTTACATATTGCCAAAATGTTTTATACGGTTACCTCTTGTGGGTAATACACAATATACTAGCCCTTTTCACATTCAACTGTGTAAAAATAAACATGAAACTGTATTGTGGCAAAATCTTTTTTTATGAATGTTCTTTTTCGAAATTCAAACGCATCGAAATGTATCCGTAAGCACGACTATCATCCCTCGCTTTACTTTCTGTTGAGAATGACTTATTGAGGGAATTGACATTCTAAGACATTATACGCAATTTTTTAACGCAAAGAGCTGTAAAATCAAAACAATACTGCTCCGATTTAAAAGTTACTATATTTGCATAATTGATGCAAAACTTATAAATGTGTGTTTGAATTATTTTTCAACTTTCGAATTAAATAATAAATTTACTTTTTGCTACAACAATAGTGATTTATTCAGAGGCCATAAATGCATGTATTATTTCAGTATCTTATTATCTGAGTTTTGCATGACCTAAATTTATTTTTTCACATATGCGCTTTCTAACTTCAGTAGGCCCTAAAACGTTTGTAGGCTCCAGGCACAATGCCTATTGCGCCTAATGGATAAGAATTAAGATGGCCCTAGCCGATCCATTCTCTTATCTAGGGAAGACATGAACTTGTATCTTATGGCTGTCACTCCGTGAGGTTAGTTTTACGTGGGACTAGGTCGGCGTGACGTCATTTTTGGATGATCCCTAAGGGATATCTTAACTGACTTAGTTAATACAACGCGTAACTTTCAGATACCAAGCAACGTATTGTTCTTTTTAATTATTTCACTTGTGCATATTAATAGTGCTAGTGTACGTTTTCTCTAGGAAAAAAACCGGCAATCAACATGTCAATGCTCATGTCCTCGACCTTGCTAATCTTAGAGGCATTAGAGAATTTTGTGAAAGCCTGATCACAGAGGAAAAATACCTGCACATTCTCATCAACAATGCAGGTAAGTCATCTGTTTACTTCATACTTCGTCTATCCTATGTAAACAAGTATGTGCGTTATTTTTTTCTCATAGTCAGATGTTTGGCTTGCGTTGTTATTATCGATCGAGTTATTTTTATAGATACTTAAGACTTCAATACCTACTAAATAGTTTAGACACATAAGTAGGGCTTAGGCGACTTCTGTGACGGATTTTAGTAATGTGCATCATCAATTACTGGGGTAATATCTGACAGATTCGCCGGGTGGGGGGGGGGGGAGAATTGGTCTACTGTAAAATTAAAGTCGCCAAATAATTCAAACAAAATTACAATATTGTTTTCAATTTTTTTACATCTCATCTTTGCCCTGATTGTTATTTCTATTTGTTATCCTCGTGTAATATATATAGCCTATATATATATATATATATATATATATATATATATATATATATATATATATATATATATACATATACATATATATATATATATATATATATATATATATATATATATATATATATATATATATATATATATATATATATATATATATATATATATATATATATATATATGTATATATGTGTGTATATATATATATACACATATACATATATACATATACGTGTACGTATATGTAAACATATACGTATACATATACATATATATATACATATATATATACATATATATGTATATATATATGTATATATATACATGTGTATATATATATATATGTATATATATACATGTGTATATATAT